CCATGATAGATTTTTTTAGGATTCTTTGATGAACAGATGAAAAGATCAGCATTTATTTGAAATAGAAATCTTTAAATGTCTTTGACTTTTGATCAAGTTAATGTGTCCTTGCGGAACAGAAAAAATTTACTGACCCAAACAATTTAATGGCAGCATGTGTTCAATTACAGAAGTAAAATATCTTTACGGAGACAAAGGAATTAATTGATGGAACAAGGGAAACATTGATATCTGTAGTTCATACATACACATTCAACTGAATATGTTGTGATCTGTATCTAAAATTCAGTCATTTCAGATTTTTCTTCCCCAGTTTTAAGCCTGAACAATAGCAGCAACACTATCTATTCATCTACAAAAGAGCCATCTGAGGCTTTAGTACCATTAGCAATCTGTCTATACTAACAGGTGTCAGGACCAGAGCTCCTTCGGCACTCTAACATGATACTAGAGCAAATTATCTTTCAGTCCTAGCCATACGCTGATGCTCCATTCACGTCACACAATGTACGCTGCCTCCAAAACACAGAAGCAGGAGTGATCAACCTTTCCCATGACTTGTTTGTTCTCTTTCAGTGACTTTAATATCAGCCTTCCATCTCCAGGGAGAGAGGCTTGTGTAAGAGCCCCGGCCTGTGGGCTCGTCTCCAGGGAATGACCAGGGAAAGGACAGCTGGTTCCACTCCCTCCCTCCCACAATCCCCCTCTCAATGAGTCTGTCCCTCACTCAGTCTATTGGATTGGTCAGCACCGACCATCTGCCTGAGGGATGCCGCTCCCTCGTTCCAGCTCTCGCTCACACAGGCTGAACAGCTGCCTCTTCTCCTGGCTCTCTCCACTCCTGTTCCCCTACCCATAATGCCTCAGACACAGGCCTGGGCGGGTGCTCAGAGAACTGAGTGAATGATTAATGTAAGCTGATCATTATTTTATTATATTATCGCTGGTAAAGTGTACTATATATTATATATATACACTATATATATCAGAAGGCTAACACAAACAACAAAATTGTTTGGAATATATTTTAGCTAAAGATTATTGATTAACTCTACCTTAATCAAAATTAAGGCAAAAATTCATTATCTAAACCTCGACAAATAGCTAAAGAAGGCTCTCCGCAGAGCTAAACAAACACACAAATAAAGTGATAAATTGT